AGCAAGCTTCTCCCAATCGCATTATTGTTAACATATCGTCTTGCGTACGAGCGTGGTCGGGATGACCCGCTAATAAACAAACGTCGCGTGGGAAATATTTCTTATGCAACGGGTTGCCTCCGACCGGGACGTCCCGACCCCAAGTGGTGGGCGTCGTGACTTCCGGGCCGGACTGGCACCTGGCGGCGACTCCCCGCACCCCTGCTGTCCGCCCCCACCCCACCCTCCACCCCGCCCGGCGGCCCGCTCGGCGCCACCAGCCCCCGCTTTTCCCTCCCCCTCCCATTTTTTGTAGTTTCGGTATTACCTCCCGCCGGGGGCCTCTGAAATTTCCAATTCATAAATTCTTTATGGCCTGGCTTGTTTTATCGCTCATCGTTCGCAAAGGGGGGTAGTACGAGTTGCCCGCAAAACAACACGAGGAGGCGTCCGGCTTAAAACAAAAGGCAGGCGAGCGCATCCGGTCTTCAAACGGTTCTGATAAATGGATGTTCCCTGACCCGAACACCTCCTGGAGACACACACCAGTTGTGGCAATCTATCTTCATCGAAATTGTTTTTACGTATCATTCTTAGTGCTTGTTAAGCCTATCGATCCAGATATGCAATGCAGAAACTGAACAATTAATGAAGAATAATTAAACATAACGAGACTACTGAGAGAGTAAATATGTTTATCCATTACATGGTGAAAAATAGCCAGTTCTTTTTCGACGTCCCGATTGTACTCATGTAAATGAGTAGTACAACCTCTAGTATTAATAATTTTATTCACTATAAATGGTATGAAAATGCAGATATGAATACTAAGAACTATCTGATGAAAAAGTGCGATCATATTCGAACTATAATATAAATAATAACCCCTTATAAGGTATTGTGATAAAGAACCAATATTCTGAAACATTGAAATTGACATGTAATATTTCTGATGAATATCGTCCTTAGAATATTAATTGCGTCCTCGCCATCCAACACAGCAAAGCAGTCCTGTTCCCTGGGGCAACGGTGATTTGCCACCCGAAATAAATCGGACACAAAGAACGCTGCACGCTTATGCGATGCGCATCCGAATCACCCCACAGGCCGCGCCGGGCGGCAAGCCAACCGCAGGCGCGGCAGGGGGCGGTCGGGAGCGTCGCCATGACACCCTCGCCCGCAACGCCGCCCCGCGCCCCGCCCCCGCCGCGAGGCATCGACGGCGCATGTCGTCGTCTTAACAACCCTCGCGTTGCCATGGGCGACAGCCGGCCGGACGGGCGGGGCGGGAGCGTGGGCGACGGGGGCTGGCGGGCGGGCGGGGGCGGGGTGGGGGCGAGGAGCCGCGATTCCGCGAGATACAGCCCGGCCCTCGGCGCCGAGCGCCCCGCCTCCGCGCAAGCCCCCACCCGCCACTCCCGCGCCAGCCGCTCAGATCTGCTTGATAAACCGCGCGCGAACGCGCGTCGGGACAGGGGCATTGGGCGGAGGGCGGAACGGGGAGGAAACGAGGAAGGGGACGCCGGCAACAGGAGAGCAACGCTAGCCGGGATGGAGGCGAGAGCTCAAGAGATGGGCCTCCGGGCGAGGCCGCGCGAGCAGGACGGGCCGATGAGAACGGTCGAGTCGAGGACGAGGGGGAGGACCGAAGAGCAGCCAGCAGTCGAGACGGTCGTCCGGCTGTAGGGCCGGTTGGTATGAAGGGCAACGACGCGCAAGTGGGCGGTGCCAGAGGAGGGGAAAGCGACACGCAGAGAGGAAGAACGGACGCTGAGGAGAATGGCTCGAACGAGCGGTGGATCTGAGCAGAGCGGGGCGCCATTTTTACCCGACGCGCCACCGCACACGTATCACACACGCGTTAGACAACTTAAGTTCGCGCGAGGATTACGTGTACTGCGAAACGCGACGGCGGTGGCGGGACCTGTTTTTAGCCAGCAACCTGCGCAATTTGAGACTCGTCGAAACTCGAAAGACGGAAAATAACTCTCGACTATTTTTCTACTGAAAAAGGAAAAACGCGATATGAACATTTATTTTTCCATTTGTATAATTCTACAAAGATTCTTTTCAGTGTAGAAATTACTTTACAAGGAGCAAACATTAAAAAACCCAGGACTCTGTGTTTCGGTTAAAACTAAATTCTCGTTGGGTTGAAATTGAAAACTATTTTCTGCAAGAGTTGAAAAAGAAAACTCTCTTTTTTACATTCATCAATCCAACACAGGTAATATTAATGCGCGTCAAAAAAAGAATAGGCGATTGGAAACCGCGAATGCGATATGAAACTAAAATGAACGAAAAATGTCACTGTGAGCAATTCTTCCGCCAACTTTTTGCTACCCAATCAATAAACCACCGCGCTGTACCGCACGATAACAATCTCCCAAACAATATTTATACCTGCAAGTTCCTCGCTTGCAAGCACTTACTCTTCGGGAGTCCGGTGTTCGCGTACACCGGCCAAACAAATCACTTGCCGGCGACAGCACTTATCAATCACCCGGCTTGGCGGGGCCGCCTTCGCGCCGAACGCCTTCATAAAAGAGCAATGAGCACTCGGGACGTGTGCCTGATCGACGCGCCCGTCTGTAAAAACGCGCTCTCACAAAAGGCGGCACAATGGTGAAAATACTGGAGGCGTTTTACAGGCGAAATTAATCACCGATTACGGCGACTGATAGGCCGTCCGCGATCCTAACGGCGGTTCTTTAAACATGTTTCTATTTTCCAGGCAATTCCCACGCGATTAGCGGCAACAATAACGATTGCGGCATTTATTGGTAGGCGACATTTATCGTGCGGGCTGCGCCAGGGCTCTCGACAGCGCAGTTGGGCCGATTGACGAGGCTCGTCTTTGACAACGCAATTTGGCGGCAGCGAAATTGCATACGCACGCGCGCGCGAGCAGACGCGCGGTACAGACCGCCCGTGCGCACGCAGCACGCGAGCGTGTACACGCACCCCGTGCCGGCACGCTCCCCTTCCCGGCCGCATAGCGCGCATCGCACGCACACCAGCGCAAACTGCATTAACGAAGTGTACCTACGTTATTTCAACTGCGCGCCTCCCGCACGCCCCCGCGTCGGGGGTGGGGAAGGGGAGCGGGGCGGAGCGGGGTTCGAAATGGATGAAACTGTAATTGCCGAATTTAAACTGTATTTTACGGAAGCGTTCCGCCGGACCATAAAAAACCGCTGAATTAACTACACCTCGTTGAATGCGCGGTGTCCAGCCGAACAACGCCGCATGTGGTAACTATCAATAAACTGTACAATAACCTACGGTGGGACACATAAAAGCAAGATGCAGCGCGCTGCGAGCGGTTGGGTGGGCGGTGGGTGGGTGGTTGCTGCGGCTGTGGTGAAAGGGATGGTGGGGGCAACGCGTGGTTGGGGCGGCACGCTCCCCGCCCTCACTCGCCGCCGTCCGTTGCCGCGGAGAGGCATAAAAACGGGCGCTGATGTCATCTGTCGCGCCTGCCGGCCGAGAGATGGCGCAGATAGCGCGCGCGCGCACAAGCGGGCGGGCGAGAGAGGAGCAGCGCGTCGCCGGGGACGCGGCGTCGACACGCTTGTCGTTCGTCGACTGTCTTCTTATCGCGGAGAGGGGGGAGTGGAGGGCGGGTGACGCTAGCGGGGCGGGGCGGGGACACTCGGACAGATAGCATCGCTACACGCTGCGAAAAGTGCGTGAACGCGCTCGGGCAGGCGAGGGTGAGGCAGGGAGCTTCTAGGAGGCGGTGGGAGTGGGGTTGGCGAGTGGCAAAAGGCGTTCAGTGGGACATGTCGCAAGCGTTCAACTGGTGCACGACATGTCATACAACTCTGGGGGGACCAGCAAACGCTTGTTTACACAAGTCCCAACCCCCTCACTGTGCTCGCCAGGACTAAGGATTAAAACGTTCATGTAAGCAACTTCACAGGCAGATAAATAAGTTGGAAATATCCATTAATGTAAAACCATGATACTAAAATATATCTCTGTCGCTGAGAATATCTGCGTCGCAAACAGAAAAGTCAAAATTAGTGAACTGGCAATCATTTAATTGAAACATGGTTTGCAAACCCAACCAAACATTCGTATTTACCCTTAATCCATTTAATATGCTAAAACATGATATAAAATGAATTCTATGTTAATATTCCTGCACAAAATGGATTAACTGAGACAAAAAGAATTACCCAGTCACCGCCTAATCGTATACAGTGCTTACTTCCAGAAGCGAATGTTTCGGTTCCAAACACCCTGAGCAACGGGCGAGTGCGGGAGGGGCAGCGGGGCGGAGCACGGCGAGGCGACGGGCGTGCCTGGCGTGGCGTGGCGGGGCGTGCGGCGGGGCGGGGCGGGGCGGGCGGCGGGACGGGCGGGGCGGGGCGTGGGTGGCCCGGGGCAGGGCAGCAGGTGGCGGGCGTGAAGGCGGGGGCTGAGCGGGGGCCGGGGGCTGGGCGGGAGATTAAGGGGTGAAGACGCGCGCCAGGCGGGAGAGCGGACATCATTCTGGAACGCCCTCCGTTCGCCTACGGCTGCTTCTGTTGCGGTGCTTCCGGAGCGCCCCTGCGGTTTTGCTACCCTCCTGCGCCCTACCCCGCCGCCGCCGCGCAGGCTTCTTCGTGTCCCGGCCCCTGACCCCAATAACTCGCGCCTCCGCGCCCGCCTGGCGTGGCTCTCTAGTGGACTCCCGCAAGCTGGGGCGCAGCGGCACCGTTCGGCCATGAAGGTGATCATGTAGCGATGGAGATTAGTAGCTATGAATCCTACATTGCGCTTCAAGTAGCTTGATAGCCTCAAGTTAGTCCCGTGAGAGTGTAGTGATTCTTTGGCGCACAAGTAAGAAACGGTTCGTACCGGGTTTCTGCGTCCCCCGCCTGGGATTCGGCCACCGGCGCCAACGCCGAAACCTCGAGTTCTCTTGCGCGGAGCCAATCGCTATCACCGCCGGGTACCTGCGCACGCCCGCCCACGCCAACCGTCACTCCCGCCGCCTAATTAACGCAGCAGCGCGCGGTTATGCGGCGCAATTAGGAGGCGGCGTAATGGCGGCGGAAGTCGCCCTCACCTGCCGCTGGCGGCGGTGGCAGGGCAGCGGAGAAGGCGGTGGCGTTGGATGGTGGTGGTGGTGGTGGCGGTGGCAGCGTGGGCGGCGCGGCGGTTGCGGGCATTGGCGGCGCTGGCGACGGTGGCGGGGAGGGAGGGGCTGGTGATGACTGACGGACAGCCTTCCAACCTCCGGACGTGTAGACGTGTATCGAAGAAGTTCCGACGAAGCGTGGATGGATGAGTTTACACTGATTTCCAATGTTTCCTTGACAATGAAACGCCACGACTCTATAATCAATATTCTTATTTCATGTGATGCAAATATTGGAATTTTGGTTGTAAGGGTGTACCGAATGACAATAATCAAACATAATTGATTAATTTTTGTCTGAAACAGTGCGACAGTATCTACATCGCAGTGGGTAAAGAATAACTGCAAACACCAAACCTTTAATATTATGCAACACGTACAATTATCGCCAAACACGCGAAAGAATATTACTGGCACTCGATATACAAATACCAATAACTGTCAGACAACGATATCTCACCTTGCCAGAATTACTTGAGAAACCAACGTCTAGCCGTCGATTGGTGAATCCCTAACCACACAATCCAACAACATGGAAACAAAACCACAACTTCTCCGTAAAAATAAAAGACGTGAGGACATAATGTTTTGTGGATGAGGGACGACACTTTTTCTACTCCCCCGAAACTTCACCACAACGAAGAACTCCCAAGGACAACGGCAGGGCGACGCCCGAAAAGGCGACGCGTGAACGTTCAGCGTCGGCGGCGTCGCCCGATTTGGGGGGCGAAGGCGAATTTGTCATCGGGGCCATCATCTGACGCGGCGTGCGCCGCCGCGTAGACAGCGCGTGTGGCATGCCGCGACAAAAGGCCCCGCCGCCGGCGGACGCGAGGGCTGTCAGCCGCCTGGCGCGTCCCGCGAAGTCACGCGCCGCCAAATGATTTGTTTTTCATTTGCGGCGCCCAGCTGCCCCCCTACCCCCTCCCGCCCACCGCGACGGCCACGGGACACGAGAGGCTGTTGCCTATTACTTCTTCTTTCTTTGCTGCTTCTCGTCCCTCTCCTCGTGTGTCGCTGGGAATACTTCCTCGACTTCCCTCCCACTTCTCGCGAGTTCCTACTTTACAGAAATGTTACCGTATTCTCTACAGACTATTTCTCTAAGAAGTTCTCTCGATACGATTTTTTTCTCTTTAATTTTCGTTCTCAGTACTTTCTTATACTTTTGATGTTCTACCTTCCCTTATACTTGAGTTTTATTTCCCCTTGTCTCCTGCTTCCATAAATCTCTATCTTCTTAATGGAATGTCAAAGCATGTTTCCCCCTTTTCACCGTCATTCTCCCCTAACTTCCGTCGTTCCAACTCCCATTTCTACGTACTAATATCTACAAACTTCCTTCTCCGTCTTCTTCATCTCCTCCTGCAGCGACGCCATGCGACGTGTGAAAAAAACACAACAGTGCAGCAAGGAAAACACCACACAGAGCAAACAACACACACAGACAAGTAAGAAACCAAACCAAATCAAAACCATTCCCACACCAAACCGGTGGTGCAATAATCCCCGATGCAGAACAAGGAAGAAGTGCATAAATAAACGGGCGAGCTCTCCTCGTGGGAGGAAGGGCTCGCCAACAAGACGCAAGAAATCAGGTGACAGAACCCGGCCCGGGGCGTGCGCGCTGCAGAATACGCTCGTTGCGAGGGCATTTGGCACCCGAGCTGCAGCTGCAGCTTGTGCCTGTCTAGGGGTGGAAGGTCTAGCGTCATGTGATTTCATTAACAAACTTAGACTCGGGAATCGTGTAATGTTTGCGAATTTCATGTTCCTACTTCAAAACGGTACAGTCAGATTAGTGTTATCCTACAAATTTCTTCAGTCGTCTTTAGGTGCTTCTCAAAACTAAAGAAAAATTAGATAATACATATTGCATTATTAATAATATTTTCTTATAGCACTAAATACTAGGGAACGTTTTGACTACTATGACCATATTAAGTGAAACTAATCTATGATCAAAGTGCGTTTATATACGAATGGGGAGAAGTGTTGCCCACGATAATATAAATTTTGAATTTTTTTATTTAGATGTTTTGTCGCTGAAGGCGGTTCGCTCGCCTCCACCCCCCTCCCACGTAGCTACGCCCCTGAGAGACACTCACAGATGATATCGCGAGCTCGCGCCGCCTCCACCGCCGCCTCTTTCGACAGCCGTCACGAACGGACGGCAAGCAGGCAGGTGAAAGTATCGAGACAATGCTGCAGTCGGCATATTCGATATTGCATTCAGTCACGAACAAAAAATGTCACACGGAGATTAGGCAGAGGTGGAAAGTTCGTTTCGACACGAGGCCAATTTCTTTTCCTTTTTTCACAACACGAATGACGCTTCTGTGGCGATTGAATTTCTCTTTGAACAACTTCCCGCCGGCACGTGAACTGCCGTGTTTCGCGTATGGTTCAAATAGTACGAAAGCGGAAATGAAATTTCGAATGATGTGAAAAAATTTTTCCAGGAGTCTCTGAAGGTAACGCGACAATGTAACGCATTGTTTGATTAAGAAGGAAATTTAATTTTATTCATCTCAGAGTTATAAATTCAGTAATAAATGTATTATCGAGAGTTAGTATCGATATTTTTTGAATATGTCTTTCTTTAATGATAAGGGACATTGTGGATAAAGGGGGAAAATGTGCAAGTTCTAAGAGTAGGAGATCCAAAAAGTTCTGAGTCCTGGCGTGATATGTGAAACCAAACATGACAAGTGAGCGTGTGCGCGAGCGTGAGCGTAGAGCGCGCGTATTCTGGGCAGCAGCGCAGGCCGGGGGCCGAGCCAGAAGCAGAGAACAGCAGCCCGCACAGGCAGACCCAACAGCACGCCAGCCGCCCGCCGGCCCCGCGCGGCTGAGCAGACAGGGGCCGCCGGAGGAGAAACCCGCAACCAGGAAGATGTTAGTGAGTGCGGTTAGTGAGCGCCCGCCCATACAGCACGGGTTAGCAGCGAGAAGAGCACACACTGCCAGGAGAGGCTCTGATCCTTACCAGCGCTCGATCTCGATTTGGTTCTCGACGCTTTCGCGTTTACACCGCCCGGGGCGCCCCCCGGCTGGTGGGTGGCCAGCGACTTGGCCGCGAACATGGACGGATGGTGGTGGTGGTGGGACATGGAGTGGTGGTTGAGGTGGTGCGACGTGTAGCTCATGTAGGACGGGGTGGCGGAGTCGTGGTGCGGGTAGGGCGAGGGCTGCAGGGGCGGCGGGGGCGGGTAGTGGCCGTGGGGGCCCATGCCTAATGCTGCTGGCTGCTGGGGTTGCTGCTGCTGTCTGGCTGCTGGCCCTGCAGCTGCACCATCTGCTGTTGCTGTTGTTGCTGTTGCTGCTGCTTGCTGTATGCCTGTTGCCTCGGACGGCGGCGGCGCGGCAGCGGGCCGGCGGTCGCGATCGCCGGCCGCCGCGGCGGCGGCCGGGCGGAGCGCGCCGACGCTCGGCGCCGCCCCGCGGCGAGCGGCCGCCGCGCCGTGGACGAGTACCCGTACTAGACGAGGACCCGCCGTCCCGTGGCTATACCTTCGCGCTGCCTTGACGGCCGCCGCCGCTCGCCGCCGCCGCCGATTGCCGCAGTTTGGCGCCGCCGCCGTCCTGCGGCGCCCGCGCCGAGTTTCAGCATGTTGACGCCGGGCTTGATGTCGAGCTGCGCCGCGCCGGCGCCGCACGCCACCCGAGTCCTGGCCTGGTGCATGAGAGGCGAACGCCCTGGCGGCGCGTGCGCCACGCGCCTGCCGCGTTCTGGTAGTCGCTGGCGCTCGATCGACGTGGACGCGCTGCTGGTGAGCGCCGTCTGCCGCACCGTCCCGAGTCGGGCGGTCGCGTCCCTTGGCGGCGTGGGCGGGAAGGTGAAGAGGTGGTGCGCGGCGGAGGAGGCGACGCCGTGGTGCGCGGATGGCGCGCCGCCGCTGCCGTTGGCGTTGGCCGAGCCGTTGGAGCCGCCGCCGCCGCCGCTCGAGCCGGCCGACGGCGACATGGGCTTCTCGTCGCCGCTGGCGCTGCCCGTCGACGGGTTGGAGGCCGACGACACGGCCACCGAGCTGGACGAGCCGCTGCCGCCGCCGCCGCTGAACGGGCTGCACCAGGCCGAGCCGTGGCCCACCATGGGCTTGCTCTCCGACAGCCACGGGTGCAGCGGCGTGTGGAAGTGCGGGCGGCACACTTGGCTGCTGCTCATCCGGGCGGCGGCCGCTGGAACAAAACGCTCACTTCAGCACACAGCCACACAAGTGATCACTCTTAACACACTCTTAATATCTAAATGGTCACTGTACACTAGATGCATGGGGAATTATATTTCAACTACTTTTGCACGACTTTCCACAAGCAAACTCATACACGTCCAACTTCATATTCAACTCCTTTTGGAACCATCACTTTTTTTCTAAACAACAAGAAGAGACAATCACAGAAAAGTGTCACGAAGTTGATTTCATTGAATGGTTAATGACCATAAGTATGGAATAAGCTTGGAAATAAGCTTGAAACATCAAGTGTTGAATTTGTCATCCATATCTCCATCAGAATTTGGAATTCAATCCAGAATATACAGAAATTTAAAGCAGATTTTTTTAAAAATCTGCGTTAGATATAATTTTTTTTCGTTTTTTAGAAGGAAGCTTTGGACTTGGCAATGCCGGAAGACATTCCTGACTGCGAAACGCTCTTCCCAGCGATGTTCTTTCGCCAACGCCCGCCGCCTCCCCTCACGACCTGTCCCGCGACCGCCCTCGCGATCTGTCAATTTCGTTGCTGCGTGTTTCCGCGACGCCGCTCCAGCGACAGCGCTCTCCAAAGAACAAGATCGCTGGACGCGACCCGTTAGCCACTCGATCTGCATATTTCAAAGCGAGAGAAAGACGGCGTTGGGAGTCAAGGTGACACGGAAAAACGACTACAACGCTTTGCCAACGGGCGTGGCCTGACAAAATGTTCTTTCTCCCGTACATTCCACTATTGGCTCCATTTTGTGTTGATACATTTTAGTTTTTTTTATTTAGTTCCAAAACATGGTATTTCAAACAAATTATGATGATTTCTTGTCTGAAAAACTTACTCCAATAACTTCTAGGCCATTATTTCCTGTCTTCAACCTACTCTCGTTGCGGTTGGAAGTAGTCACGCTGCTAGGCCTACTCTTTAGAACTTAATGCCCGGAACAGTAACTAGAGAAGAACAGTTCTCACATGTGAAATATGACTAAGAATGTGAGGCAAATTAGATTATGAGAACATGCAAACTCCCTTCAACCATATGACAAACGACACCACTATTTTTCTAGAGGAGTTAATTGACTTCACGCCCACTCATTACATTTCACGGAGTGTGAGAATCTTCCGATGAAAAGACGTATGCACAATGCAAAGGAGAGATGAATGGCATGGAGCCCATAGTTTACTCATCACAGCTAATAAAAAAAAACAGACAATTTCAATTTTTCATTTCTCACACACTCCAACACTTTTGAATCTTTGGATACTAATCTCGTCTCGTGCAAGTATTATTTATCCACTCCGATATCGAATTGAAATAGTGAATAGTGTAGCATTTCACATTCAATAAACATTTTCAAACTACGTACACCTGTGTAAGAGAAAATTACAATGTGGTGGAAAATACCGCCGTCCGTTAAACCAAATTCCCTAGGTAATATTAAGGTATAGATGAAACATTTTTAGTTATTAACTCTTTGTAAATTTAATTCTTTGAGTACATGTCATAATATTTTACCGTTATATTATTTCTCTCTCTAAATTGCACTTCTAACATGTATCATGTCCGAAAATAGTCACTACTTTAATCATTTACTGTTGCAAGATCTTGTTCTGAGGGGAGCACCCGAAAATTCATTAATTTACCGAACGACGACAGTTTGACCCATCCGCTGTTACGAGGAAAATTCGTGTCCCGTATCAAAACCCTCTCCTCTCCAGCCTTGTATGCCTCAAATGCCCAGGTCCACACGAAAAACCGTCCTCCTTTTTAGAATACACTCCAGCCTCCATGTATTCCATGTGGCATCGGTGCTGACCCACCCGCGGTCCAGCGTCTGCGCCGTCGCGCCAGCGAGCGGGTGGCGAGAGCGCGCTGGAAGGTTAGTTTCTATTTGTAAAAATAATGCCGGTATTAAGCCATACACGCGGTTAAATTGCCCATTGTGGGCGGGCGGGTGG